GGAAAGAAGCACGTGGAGAGGGGGCAGCTGCATTTCACCCAGATGCCCCCTCGCCATCATGAAGACTGTATTATTTTTGCTTTAGATTAGCCCATATGAGGGAAAAAGGGTAAAGATTTAAGTGTGAATGAGACAGAAGAATAAAACACACACACACACACACTTACACATCATGGTGGGAAACACACACACACACAGACGGAGCCACACACTATAGATTCACCAAACTCATCCGTGCCAAAAACAGAAGGTGTGAGGAAGCGGAGGGACGGGGGGGCGGAGGGACGGGGGGGCGGAGGGACGGAGGGACGGAGGGATGGAGGGGCTTCGTGGCGCCTCAGGCTGTGATCCTCCATCTCTGCTCGGCTTCCTCTCCCGTTTGGATGCTGCTGGGAGGCGGCTCTTAGTTTTACTTTCTCTTCATCGCCACTCATCAGATCAGGAAACATGGAGGCATGTCAGGGGCGGTCGTGTGGAACGTTGTGTTAAATTTGCCTTTAGGTGCAGAAAATAATGAAATCTGACTTTCTGAGTCGTCAATTGTAATTAATGTGTAAAAACCTCCTGCATGCGAAAGCAGCCGCCGGTAGAAACGCAGCTTCTGCTCTGAATGTCGGCAGATTTCCTCCTTCCCCGCAGAAACAGTTTGATCCATTCAGACACTGAAAACGCTGGTAAATGGTTCGTGGGTCTCGCTGTCTGTCAACGCAGCTGGTTTTAGTTTGTGTTGTTTTTGTTTTTGTTTGCTTTCCTCTAACCAGGAAGCTGTAAATGTGACCTTTTGACCCTGCTGGCTTGTTTGGTATTTACTTTTAGCTAAAAAACTTGAAACTCATAAATCTCAAAGACGGGAGTTAAACTTTGCTCATGTTAATGTTTCTTTATACTTTTTCATTTATATTCATTTAGTCCCATTTTAAAATTATTAAATAAACGTTCAGAATCGGATTTAAAATATGCCATTTGGTTTGATCAAACATCTGAGTTTAACCTTCTAACTTCGTCATCTAGCAGGTAAAAATCTGTCTATAAAGAGGATTTTATTTTGATTTATATTTGGATGAACTCCATCAAAGTTTTTTTTTATTTGCAGCTTGATTGTTTTTGCTGCTCAGAGCGAACCTGTGTAGTTTTGCAGATTGTTTTGTTTGTTTTAGTGTTTAGTTGTAATCCTTAATCTGGATTAGAGGCTACAGAAACTATTTTTGAGAGTTTTTACAAACAAAAACGATCAAAACTGATTTAAATGACTCATTTATTGTAAGACACTCCAGTCTAGATTTGAAAAATTTTAGTTTTCTTGTTAAAATAGTCAATCAGTGATCCAAAAAAACTAAAAATAAATGAATTGGGTGATTATGAACGACGTTTTCATACCACAAAGTTTATGAAAATTTTATGAAATATTTTTCGGATGCTGAACTTTGTGGATTCAGAGATATTGGAGAGGTTTTGTTTGGTGCTGGGGTCACGGGGTCACTTCATTTCCCTAAAACGGCTTCCTACGCCTGAACTGAACAGCTTTGTGTGAGTTTCTTCTAGTTGTTGGTATTTATTGCCTTCTAATCATCGTTATGATCAAATATCATGATTAATCCATGTGTATGTCTGCTGAACGGTTTCTGCTGCAGCCCTTGTGGTTCTGATCCACGTTCTGGCCCAAGATCAAACCAGAATAATCAAATTGAAGTCGGTGTTGGTACTCTGAAGGTTTTGCTAGAAACGCAATGTGGTCCCGCTTCGGCCGACTTAGATTTTTTCCTTTATGTTAATTTTCTTTAATCTTTTGGTTTTGGTTGCATCCACAGACTCTGACCTCCTGGTTTCCACCTTTTTCGCTCTCTAGCTGCCTCCGTAGCCGCAGTAACTAACTCTTAATTCATAAATAAATAACATACACACATACAACATACAAACTATTTCTGAGGAGTTCGACAATCTGAATCCGTCAGCTCGTTCTTCTGCTGCACCGATCCGACTTTAGCCTCTCCTCTGTTTTTATTTA